TATATATATATATATATATGGATGCGTTCCAAATTACGCATGAAGCGTATGATGTATCGTTTTATCGTTCTTTATTATTTGATGAACAACAAGGACAAATGATGCATCATATGCGTAACGCACCTTGTGTCTACGATTCTGACGTACATATTTTAATTATTTCTAATTATATTGGGTCATCTAAAAAGTATCCGCGATTTTTAGATGACCCAATATAATGAAGTAATAATGCGGATTAAAAATGCGGAATAAGATGTAAATGATTGCAGAATTAAACGATTCAAAAGTAATAAAAGGCCACAATATGTCAATCTTTTGTTAAAAATATTGCGTACATTGCGCGGATTTTGTGTAACAAAAAGTTATTACAAACTAATTATTGCGTATTGTAATTTATTTCCTGAAGCTTCTAGGTATTGATCATGTAATCTTTTTCTCTAGGGCGGAAACGTGAAAAGTAAAAATTTTTTTTATGTGTACTTATGTATAGTTTTTATATTTTGTATATGTATTTTTATGTATGCATTTGTGTATGTGTACATACATACATGCATAAAAATTTTCATTTTTCACGTTTCCACTCTAGAGAGAAAGTTACATGATCGAGCGGTGCTTCAAATGGAAATAAATTGCTGAAATAAATAACTACTAAATAAATAACTAAAATCTATCAAATTAATATTCAAATTAATATTTCTCTCTGCCTGTATTTACAGTGAGATCTTATATTTAAGATCGTCTTAAATACAGTCTTAAGATGTTATGAATCAGATGTTAGAAAGCCGTATTTTAGTATCTTAGGATATTACTTAAGGTTTTAAAATAAAAATTGATTATGAATATCGGCCTTAATTGCATATTGGACACGATGAGAGATAAGCGAGCAATATCCAATAAAAACTTTGCTTTGTATCATCACGTGCAAAAAAGAAGAGCTTTCATGCAATTCAAAGCTAATATATAATAGATGCGTTCAGGGAGACACTATAGGGCTATTTATATCATTCTATCCTTGTTTTACATAATAACAATGAAGATAAAATGACAAAAGTAGCGCTAATAGCGGCTTCTTAAGCGCACCAAATGTAAGAAATTTATTTGTTAATACCTTTAAAATATCTAATTTTAAAACAAACTAACAAAGTCGTAGCTTATTTTGAGCTTGTAATTAGACTGACTTTAAATTAATACAATTAACATAACAATGTAAATACTATATAATTATCTAAATACAATTAATAAAATAATTTAAAAAAATATAAAATTACAAATGTGTCTTCTTATTTTTTGTAATCTGTGTTAAAACATTTGGACATTCGAATCTTACATGAATTGACACATTACCACTGATGGTTTATAAACATTTCATTATATGCGCTAATTGGTTCGTTAATTTAATAATGTATTTTTGCTTTACACAAGAAGGCTTTGTAAGCCGAAACGTGTAATTTTATATTTTTTAAATATTATTTTATTATAATTGTATTTAGATAATTATATAGTATTTACATTGTTAATTGTATTAATTTAAAGTCAGTCTAATTATAAGCTCGAAATAAGCCACGACTTTGTTAATTTGTTTTGAAAATGTACGAGCATTTTCACTTTAATATCTATTTTTAATTAGATTGTTGACATTTAAAAAAGTAACACATATATAGGTATTTAAATATGGGAATTCCTGAAACATGGACCAATCAATGCGCTACTTTATCATACTGCAATTTGCAATTTGGATAAAGTTGAAACTCTTCTAATTGTAAGCAAACCACATTTAATTTAAAATTGTAAAGAATATTTAAATGAATCAAAATGAATCAACCTCTGTAGAGGCTCTCCACCACCTCCGCCGATTTTATTGGCGGTCCTCTTTTCTTTGCAAGTATACTCACCCGTAAAAATGGCCTACTAATAAATTTAGTAGTCCGTTTTTACAGGTAAGTATATATTTTTAATTTAATTTTTATTTTTATGTCAAATTATTTTATCGTATTTTTCGCTAATTACATTATGATTAGCGAAATACGATAAAATAATTAGCAATCATATTGCATAACTTTTTTAATATTATCTTTTATTGTAATTCTTTATTCAATAATGCAATAATAATTGTTTACAGTACAATGTACAATTATAAATGCTGTTCGAAATATAATAAAAATTATATTATAGGAGCATAATTAACAAAATTAGTAATGCGAGATTGTAAACGTTGAAAATACATACAATAACACAAATTTTTCTAAACCAATATTTAATGAAATATTAAAAAAAGCGGAATGATATATTAACAACAATTAGATCATATTTACTATTAATTATTAACTTGCAATTATAAATGTTAATAATGTTTAAAATCATAATATAAAAAGTCATTAATATATTTATAACAACATTTTCATCGCGTTCAAGATCTCAATAATTTCATCATACCAAAGTCCCTCCGGTACGCTGATTAATATCCGATACAAAGAAGAACAATCTTCATAGTGAAGAGCAAACTTAATGTGTTCTGATTCTACGTCAAATTCACAAGATCCATTTACAAAGAAAAGTTAAGCAATCCGTCAAATACCAATGATCTTGTTACAGGAAGATGTGAATCCCAAATCTTTCAGACTACTTACGATAGTAATAATTTTGGTAGCATGTCAATTACAATTACCATTTTTATTGCATCTTTAATATAATATTAAAATTCGCAAGAAAATATGTTCTGCCACACATTATTAAAAATCATCACTTAAAAATAAATGGATAGAATGATTTCCTTAAATAGTGGTTACGAAGGAATATATTTAATAATAATAAAATACACGCGTTATTATAATTTTTTATATGTGTGGGTACAAAAGTTTCTTGGGTACTAACTGTTCAAGATAAATCGATCTTGATAATAACGGGATTTTAAAGAACTATACTTTTATATCGACAAATTTATTATATAAAATTTAACAATTTTTATTTTACTGTATTATATAAAAATTTTAATTATTATTATCCCGTTAATATTAGGATATCCATTCGACTTATCTCGAATTTTTTGTACCCATACATTTTTAACTAAATTCATAATTACATTGTTAAAAGAATATAAAGCACTTTGGTAAAAATTATCTAAATCAAAAATCAAAATCTGTTAAATGTAATCTTATAATATTTGCATGTATTTTATTATAGATGTATTTATATAAAATAATCGTTAATAAATCAAATATATACATTCGTAACCATATTTTTGATAAAGCAATTATAAAAAAATAAGCAAATTATTTATATAAAATTTAAATTTATTTACTTTATAATTTGAATTTAAACAAATAATCATTAGATATCCATATTAATCATGCAATATTAAAATCCTATTGTCATTAAGACAGTCTTTTATTAACATTATTGCTAGTGGGAGAACATTTAATAAAATTAAGAAAGTGACATATAGGTCGCGACTAAAATTGTAGTGACCTAAAATATACTACTGAATTAATTTCGCAACTTGACTTTAAAATATATAAGTAGCAATTGTCATTGAATTATTGGTAAAATTATTACTTCCAGGAACTGACGAGAAAACCCGGGATTAATTCCGATCTTGTACACAAATCTCGAATGAGACACTAAACTAGATTTTGAGAATCGACTTTACAGAAAGCGAGGAATAACTCTTCAGGATGAAAATAATTACCACTTTTCATCGATACAAACTACGAATTCACTGGCATACATCTGACATGAGAGATAGCGATGAAGTCTTTGCATATAATAAATCAGTCACTGTACAAAA